ATCATTTTTGGCATTGGGAGCCATGCGGCCAATTTACACATAGCAAAAAGATAATCTGTCTATGGAGATTCTCAATCATCCAGGTCATGGTTGTCTCGAAAGTACTTTTCCAAGAGGCAACTGGACTTTGTCTTTTTCTTGAAGATGTTTCAGTTCTCATCCAAAAAGTTTCTTCATTTCTCATCCAAGAACTGAGAAAGCTTCTTGGATGAGAAGCAAAACATCTTTAAGGAAAAACAAAGAAAGTCTGGTTGCTTCTTGAAAAATCACCTTTGGGACAGAAAGATAATAAGAGTTTCATCCCGGCAATGATCTGAAGCTGACAGGCTTAATTGGGGCCATTCACACACACACACACATCTGCTGTTGTCTAGCAGTTTCAGTGAAATAACCACTCACCTGAATATAACGCAACTTTTTCTGAATAATGAGAGGACCGCCAGAATCACCTGCAAGCCAAAAGGAAAAGGGATTTAATCAAGGGACTGAGTTGGGTATGGACAGATCAAATCTACATAACCCATAGGAATCCAGCTCATGGGAGAATTTCAGACAGGCACCAACATGTATCCAAATGAGTGTGTGGTGGTCTAGAGAGGTGGAGTTCTCGCCTCCCAATCAGGAAGTTCCATCCTAGGTAAAGGCAGATAATATTTCTCTCTCTGGGCACAGTGAGAATATTTCTGCTGAACAAAACTCCGCATTGGTCACAGGAAGGGCATCCGGCCAGTAAACACTCTGCTAGCTCCATTCACTTGCCAAGACTCTACCCCACAAGGAATTATGGGTCGTTAAAAGGAGATGATGATCAACATGTATTCAAATGTAGACATGATTCAGTGATGTAAAAACTAGAGGAAGAGGGTGTATTAGAGAAGGGGTTTTCTACCAAAAACAGTCTTCTCCAGATTTTCCTTTAAAAAACTAGATTATTATAGGAATGCATTTGTCTATATCAGTGTTCTTCAACCTTGTTCACTTTAAGATGGGTGGACTTCAACTCCCAGAATTCCCCAGTTGATCATGCTGTGGGAATGCTGGCTGGGGAATTCTGGGAGTTGGAGTTGAAGTTGAAGTCTACTCAACTTGGAATTGACAAGGCTGAGAAATGCTAATCTATATGATATGAAGAACCATATATAACTTCTTACCATGAAAAACACTTTACATATATAAATATTTCTCCCAAATACTCTGAGCCTTATGAGATGGCTCACCCAGATGCTACTTTCTGTAAGTCAAGTTGACCCATCCCTGTAACTTGATCCAATTTGAATCTAACCAGCTTGCAACAGAAAACTGCTTCCAAAGTCTAGAGGAATGGTAAAGGTTTCCCCTGTTCATTCATGTCCAATTCTGCTAAGCGGGCAGGAGCTGGATCAAGAATGGGAGCTCACTCTGTCACACAGTACTCAGGTCTTGAACCTGGGCCCTCAGCTTTCCTGCTGACAAGCTTAGCATCTATAACCGCTGAACCATCATGCCCCTGTTTTCCAAAGTCTAGGGGGTGTAGCTATATTAATGAACTGTTGCATTTACATTGAAAGACCCTGAAATATAGGGCTTCCTGCCTGAGAAGGGAGTTGGACTAGAAGATCTCCAAAGTCCTTTTCAATTCTATTATTCTGTTGATTCTGTTATACAGTAGATTCAGAATGAAATATATTAATACCTGTTGTTGTGTTTATGTGATCATTACTGTTGAAAAGTCCAATTATCTGCTTCCTAGGTATCTTATTAGTTATAACTAGGGTCCAGAGCCAAAAGGAACAGAGGGGCATTGTTCTGTCCCGTGATTCTAATGAATATGGAGACCCAGGCTTGGCTGTCTGCCACAACTAATAAAGCCACCCCTTGGCTAGGAGCCTAGAATGCTATCTTCAAGAAACCAAGATTAGACTTACGGAATGCTATCTTCAAGAAACCAAGATTAGACTTACGGAATGCTTTCTCAACAGCTGGTAAAGTGGGCTGTTGTTTCCTGCAAAGATTCCCCTCCCATCGCTCCACCTATAAGCTCTTTGGGAGGGGTCACAACAGTAGCCAGCTGTCCCTATTTCCTTCTATAACATCTTCTCCAAAGCTGCTCTCTTCTCTTCTCAGCTCTATGTACACGGATATCAGGGACAACCTCCCTCTGTTCCTCCTCACTGCTCCCTGACTCAGATGCCACCTGATGGCCAACAGGCCTCTCTAATCCCTGCTCTGACTCCAAACACCCTCCAGTCTTCTTCATCCTCCAAAGCAGTCCCATAATAGTCATCGCTGTCAGAGTCCACCAACAGCTCAGCCGGCCGCTGCTGGGCCACAACAGGCATTTTCTTAGATCCTTGCAAACATAGGATCTCCTTAAGAGCCGAGGTGGCGCAGTGGTTAGGGTGCAGTACTGCAGGCCACTTCAGCTGACTGTTATCTGCAGTTCAGCGGTTCAAATCTCACTGGCTCAGCCTTCCATCCTTCCAAGGTGGGTAAAATGAGGACCCGGATTGTTGGGGGCAATATGCTGACTCTGTAAACCGCTTAGAGAGGGCTGAAAGCCCTATGAAGCGGTATATAAGTCTAACTGCTATTGCTATTGCTATTACCTTTATATTCTTAAATATTGTTAATAAATCATTCCCTTTCTTCCTGCAAATGCTGATCTACTGTGACTTGCAAGATCAGTTGCCATGAAGCTTTGGAGGTTTCAAGAAACCTTCAAGGGATAGGAAACCCGGAAACAGTAGAGAGTACCGTTATTCACCTCACCTTTGCATGTATTGGGGTCCAGCACAGGATCCTGTCCCCCCGTGCAGAGAAAGTTATCAGTCACCACATCTTTGATATTGGTAATGTTTTTGTAGAATTTGGCATTCCGTGCATCTTGTTCACAGGCCATTTTCTGGAAATAGAAAAGGGAAGCAGAGAAATTTGAACAAAGAGGATCATTAAGGGACATTACATAATCATCACATTTAGCCATAGCTCATTGGAGTGGGGATTGTTTGAATGCAGTCTTTAATAAGTCCCAGTTTAGGGTAAGTCTCTACTTGTGACATTGGTGCACTCATCTTTCCACTGCCTCCTCTTTTCTGTCTTCAAGAGATGCTACAAGCTGCACCGTACTCTCTATTCAGCTCACCAAATAACAGTCAATGGTGGGATTCAATTTTTCTTTTACTACTGGTTCTGTGGGCATGGCTTGGTGAGCATGGCAGGAGGAAGATACTGTAAAATCTCCTTTCCCACCCCACTCCAGGGGAAGGTTATTGCAAAATCCCCATTTCCTCCCGATCGGCTGCGACTTGGGAGGCAAAGAATAGATGTGGGTGAGGCCAGTCAGAGATGGTATTTACCGGTTCTCCGAACTACTCTCAAAATGTCTGCTACCGGTTCTCCAGAACTCGTCAAAACCGGTTGAATATCACCTCTGAATATGCTGGAGTGATAGCTACATTAAAATCCTGGTCCATCAAGCCTAATTTTCATCTCTGAAGAATTCGGAGAAATTATAAAAGGACATTTTATACTCAGCCCGTTTGGGACAGATTTACCATTTTAGGGAGAACGTCAGAGTGTGCACATAGTGACTATTTTGAGATAACCCAGGAGCAAGCAATCACTCATCAGCTATAGCCCAGAAGCACACACCCTCACAGGGACTCTCTTATATATACAGCCTCTTAAAGTAATATCAGCCCAAAAATCTTGCTGACTCATTCCCTGCCTTATATCAGCTCTTAAAATATTTCCTGACAGAGAATTAGGTTTATACTATTTTTTTTTAGAATACAATAGAACAGAATTATTTATTGGCCAAGTGTGACTGGACACACAAGGAATTAGGTCAAATTGGTGCGTCCATTAGGAATGGTAAAAAAAAACACCTCACTACTTAGCAAAGTGGTATAATCCAACAAAAGGTGTTAAAAAAGGGACAGCTCTAATCACAGTGTTGTGAGTGTCATTTTGCCTTTTTTGATTCCCTTCCCAGCAAATAGCTATCCTCAGACAAAATAAAATCTTGGCCATTTGACCCTCAGCTGCAGGTACCCTTTGAATATGTTTTTTTTCCCCCTATAAGAGTGTTTGCCCATAAAAATATAGACATCCTCTAAAATCAAGATCAGGATTTTTCCTTTCTTGAGAACTATTTTATCTATATACAAGATTCAATCATTATTGAAATACAATAATCCAGTGAAGACCCTGGAAATAGTTATTATCCTAACTTGATAATTATTTAGTTCCAGAAACACTCTGGAAGTTATTTATTTTAAATTTTATGTAGAGTGTGTGTATGTGTGCTTGCGCGCATGCATCTGTGTGAACATCTGTGTGTGTGGGGGGTGTGGATGAGTGTGTGGGGGTGAATATGCCTTTACTATTAGTTGCCAGGGTCATGTAAAGTTTGTACAGTCATATAAATCCTCTACATTTATTATTAATTTAATGTAGTCAATTGAGGCATTGTCTGACTCCAAAGAAAAGGAAGGAAGGAAGGAAGAAGAGGGAAGGGGAAATAAGGGGGGGGGGAAGGAAGGAAAAAGAGGGAGGGAGGAAGGATGGATGGAAGGATGCATGGAAGGAAGGAAGGAAAGAAAGAAAAAGAGGGAGGGAGGAATAAGGGGAGGGAGGGAGGGAGGGAGGAAGGAATATGTAATACTTTGGAGTCCTCAGGTGTTAGATTTGACTTAAGGGAGCTTCACTCCACCTAATCCTTTTAGGATTTCTTGCACAAAGATCTTACCTTGTCACTATTCTTGATTTGAACAGGTCTGCGAACTAGCCCAATGGTGTCGTGTTGGTATTTACAGTCACTTACAAAAAAAGAACGAATGTTTGCCACAGGTAGCAGCTCATTTTCTGTTAAACCAAACAACACGAAAAGAGCTTAATGAACTGCCAAAGGATGCTCCTTCCTTTGGAAGGAAGAGGAACATCTAGTGAGGAGAACAAAGGAATAGGAGAAGATGAGGGAAGAATCAGCAATCCCATGGACCAGTCATGGCCAGTGTTTCAAGCAAGTTTGCCCACAGTCCAATTCATTCATGTATGAGATTGAATCAATCTAGGACACAGCGCAACTCGTTACAAGAGGGGTGCAAATAAATTCAGAGAACAGCAGTGGTGGTTGCCAATTTTTTTACTACTGGTTCGGGCGCGCTCCCGCACACACTTGTGATGCTTCTGCGCATGCGCAGGAGTGTCCGGGGGAGGGGGGTCAGAGGCTTCTGCCGCTGCTACTACCGGTTCAGCTGTTCCGAGCAACCCACCTCTGGAGAACAGGTTCACAGAAGAGCCGTAAAGGAATTCTGGGAGTTGAAGTCTACAAAACTTGCCAAAGTTGAGAAATGTTACGTTGGGAAAAGATTTGCTGCCTAGGGAACCTACTGCCTTTCTGCCCTATGGTGGTTACTTTTTAAACATAAATAATCCTCTTACCATGGTCCTGGCAAGTGGTTGTTGCAAGGGGTTTCCTCAGAGCTCGGGTTGTTCCTTGTGTACACGGTAAACAAATTGGCCTGTGGGGGAGAACATAGAACATAGAGTAATGACAGTCTTCTAGTCCAACTTCTTGCTGAAGACCCTACATTAGGGGTCCCAACACCCAGTCAAGTAGTGAAATTCACTCGGTTCTATTCGGTTTGGGTTAACCGGTAGCGGTTATGGTGGCCCACCTGCCCAGATGTCATCATGTCCTGTTTTTGACACTCTGTGCATGCGCGGAAGGTTCTGCACATGCATGGAGATGGCGAGTGCGAGCGGAGCAAGTGCAAGCGCACATGTGTTCACATTTGCGAACCAGTAGCAAAGGTAAGTTGATTTTACCCCTGCCCCAGTCCATGGACTGGCACTGGTCCGCAGCATGCCAGCAACTGGGCCATGCTAACAAGCAAAGCCCATCCATGGGGTGCAGGCAGCACACAAAACCACACCCCCTCAAGTTTGTTTAAAAAAACCTTCTTCACAGAAGTGGTCCCTAGTGCCCAAAAAGTTGGGAGCTGCTGGCCTGTATCATTTCAGACCGATGGTTTTCCAGTCTCTTTTTCAAAGCCTTCAGTGATGGAACACCAAACACTTCTGAGGGCAATTAAGAAGTGCAAGGAGACACCAACCTCATTATGACTTTTAAGTTTCAGATCTTTTTAAATAGAATTATTCTTCCCTGGGCACGATAATTCTTTAATGTATAAATACTTTTCAAACTAAAATAAAACAGGAAGCCCCATGCTGGCTGAGGGATTCCTTGAGTCAAAGTCCACACCTCTTAAAAATTCCCAAGTTTGGAAAAACACATATTATCTTCTTTTGATGACCCCATAATTCCTTGCGGGGTGGAGTCTGGGCAACTGAATGGAGCTGAGTATTTACTGGAAGAGGATGCCCTTCCTGTTGCCAATGCAGAGGTTTTTTTCCCCAGTAGATACATTCTCATTGTGCCAGTGGTGGTATTCACCAGTTTGATGTGAGTGACATCGAATTGGCCACCTAATCACATGGCCACCCAGCCACGCCTACCCTGCCAATCATTAGAGCAGAGAACCTGTTGTTAAATTATTTGAATCCCACCACTGCGACTGTGCCCAGAGAGATAAACATCTGCCTCTATCTAGGATCAAACTCACAGCCTCCTGATTGTGAAGCCAGAGCTCCACCTCTAGGCCCCAGCACCACTCACTGATTTAAGACATATCATCCCATCAATTTGCCTTTTAAATATGAAACAACCAGCTTGTCTTTGATAATAAAAGTCTGAGATTAAAAAAACAACAACTAGGGATTGTGTACAACTAAACCAATGTCTTGATTCCAATGTTCCTTTGAGACAGAATTGAAAGTGCTCTGCCATCTCTCTCTCTCTCTCTCTCTCTTCTGCGAGATCTCACCTGGCACTGAAACTGAATTCAACTTTTTTGCCAAGTTTTATCAGGGCGACATCATAATCATAGAATTCAGGGATTCCACGATGTTTCAGCTTTCCGACATTGTATTGTGGGTGGAGGTAAATGTTAGCCACAGGATACGGTTGCTTGCCTAGGAAAGTAAAACAGGAAAGTAAAACAGAGACTTTCTGCTGCCTTGGGCTGCATAGCTTATCGCCACATGACCCCTGCCCATTGGGTTATTCTGGAACAGAAAGCCAGGCATGTTTCTTTCCTGGCCAGTTGACCACGCTATCAGCTTCCTCTCAAAAGATCATTGTGCTTACTGTCTCCAATTGTGACTTTGATGTGGTCGGCCGTATCATCGATAGTGAAACAGTGAGCTGCTGTCAAGATAAAATACTCAGAAACGAGGGTTCCTTTGCAGTGGCCAAACCCTGCGCCACCAGAACGCTGTGATTGGAAGAGAAAAATTGCCACGAGTAAGTCACAAAAGCATCCTACATAGATTTCCTTGGAAATAATTCCCACTACATTCAATAGAATTTATTCATTATGCAAATTAACCATAGCAATAACACTTAGAATCATCAGTATATACCCCCCCACAGTGACGTACAATGGGGGGCCCACACCTGTGTGCTGTGGTCCACTACCAGGTTGTGGCCTATTCATAACTGGGCTGGCTGAGCACCGGGCACTAGCACTCACAACTCCAATCGTCTGAGTGGCAGGCGCGTACACCACGAATGGGGCTGCTGGCACCAACACCTACTATAACCGTGTATAGGGCTGTGAGCACCTCCCCTCACCCCCATGCCAGGCTACCAACCCAGAAAGGTTGGGGAACACTGCTTTGTGACTCTCGGGGTGGTCTACAACAGTGATCCCCAACCTCCGGTCCGCGGACCGGTGCCGGGCCGTGGAGTACCTGGCACCGGGCCGCGCAGCGGCCGGGGGGCATGATCGCTGCAGCGGCCAGGGGCCATGATCGCTGCAGCGGCGGCCGATTCCTGAAAAAAACCTAAGAGCGCCTACGCAGCTACGTAGGGCTAGCGCTGGTCATCGACACGCTCAGTGGGCCACGGTAAAATTATCAAAGGCTGACTGGACCGCGGTGATAAAAAGGTTGGGGACCACTGGTCTACAACATCAGCATTATTGTCCCCAACAATCTGGGTCCTTATTTTACCGACTTTGGAAGGATGGAAGGCTGAGTCAACCTTGAGTTAGTCATGATTGAACTCCTGGCAGTGGACAGAGTTAGCCTGCAATACTGCATTCTAACCACTGCACCACCATCCTCCTGTAAGTGATATTAGATAATCCTAGTTCTTAGCCTTAGGTCCACCTGTACTGTAATCTATACTGGGCCATAATTGCTCTCTAAGAGTTGCAATCAGCTACAACAGTTCTGCCTTTTCCCCACTTTTCCCAGGTCCTTGGATAATAACTAATAAAGGAGAATATTTGTAACTCAGAGTTGAAATGAGGGGTCCTTGGTGCTCTCTGAGCTGGATTGTTTTCTAGCACTTAGCACTTAGACGGTTCCTTAGGCCCAGCTAACTATATCTTACCTGTAGGTGCTTGTATTCTATTGTGTGTGGGAGCAGATGCCAACAAAGTGACAGGAAATAACAACAATTAGACCAGGGGTGTCAAACTCAAGGCCCATGGACTTGCAATGTGGTTGGATCCGGCCCACAGCGCCATCCTGAAAAATGTCAGCGGCTGGCTCAGTCTACTTCAGTCACTACGGGCCATTCTATCCAATGCAAATAGGAAACATGCCAGCAGTTTGGGGAGTGGTGTCCAGCTGGCCATGGCCACCCAGTTGACCACGCCCCCCCCAAGGTCAAGCACAGCCCTGATGCAGCCCTCAATGAAATTGCGTTTGACACCCCTGTCTTAGACCAAAAGCAAGCACCATTACAGACAAAGAGAGAAGATAAAATAAATCCTTAACTCTCTCTGTATCGCAATGATCCCTGGTGATTGGTAAGTCATCAGCTAGTGAGTTAATGCAACTGAATTTGCATCTACAATAAAAATAATGTGAACATCAAGAAAAATCCCCATGCCACTCTATTGTACATTGATTATATTTTATCCAAGTACGAGCACTACGTTTGGGAAGGACTTTGAAAAATGCAGCCGGTCCAGAGGATAGCAATCAAGATAATAAGAAGGAAAACCAGATGAGTATAATGGTATAATGCCTTAGAGAAGAAACAAGTAATCCTTGACTTACAACAGTTCATTTTGTGACTTGTGGCCATTTTTCATACTTACAACCGTTACAGCATCCCCATGGTCACAAGAGCAAAATTCAGACAATTTCGCAACTGAATCATATTTATGAAGTGAATCTGTCTTCCCCATTGAGTTTGCTTGTCATAAGGTCGCAAAGGGGGATTGTATGACCCTGGGACACTGCAGCCGTCATAAATAGGAGTCAGTTGCCAAGTGTCCAAATTTAGATCCCATGGCCATAGGGATGCTGCGATAGACGCAAGTATGAAAAATGGTCACTTTTTTCAGTGCCGTTGTAACTTTGAACGGTACTAAATGAACTGCTGTAAGTCGAGAGCTACCTCTATAACTGAAGAAAGTGTTCTTCTCTGAGCTCAGTTCTGTTCCAAAGGTCTCCCTTACCGTGATGGCGATCTTGGTATTCCAGGGATTATTCTGCTGATCTTTCAGGTGTTCTTTTGCCAAGCCACACATAGACAAAACTTCGCTTTCATCTGGAAAGAGAGAGACACTTTGAGTTTTCTACAAAAGCTGAAGGCCTAATAACATGGAGGCTAGGCAGGAAACTATGATTCAAGGATTCCTTGAAAAGGATAAGAAGGGTAAATAGGAAGATTAGGTAGCTATGGAAAGTCACACTCTGCAGAAAAATGGAAGTGGGGTAAATTCTGGAAAGGTGGGTCCTTCAACAGGGCAGCACAGTGGCTCAGGTTAGGATGTTGGGCTTCTTGGTGTGATGTCTTCCTCGGACAACTCCTTTGACTCTTCCTCGGAGGCCAGCTCAAGGGAGGACAAGCTCATTCCTGGCACATCAAGAACTAGGTTAATTAATGACTCTGAATTGCCGACTGAAGGAGATTTATGTGAGGCTTCAGCTGGGGAGTTTTCAGGTGAGTGAAGAGGAGGAGGAAGAGCTACTTTCCGTGGTGGATCCGAAAGCACCCAGGACAGAGAAAAAACAAGAGCAAATGAGATCTGCCAGATTATTCAGGAGAAGGCCCTGCCTGTCTTGATGGGCTCCACTGGAAAGCTATTTATCATGGCGAGCACAGTGAGGTGTTACTGGGAACAACATATTTGGCTTATGACTGTGTGTTTGTTCGTGCTTCCTGGTGACTTTGTGCCTTGGAAACTCTGAACTTCTCTTGCCGAGTGAGCCCTCATGGATGTACTTTCAGTTTTGTCTGATGACTTCAAGTTTGTTTGGTGGACTTATTTGTTGGGGTAACTTTCTATTGTTTTATGGAGTATTGGCCATTGCCTTGTGAATTAATCTTGGCCTGCTTGTGGCTGGAATTATTTGGGAGAGTTCTGAGGCTGGGTGAAGGGAACTGCTGGGGAACTTTAATAAACCCTCTAAAAAACACATGTGCATGTAAATAAGTGGGGCAGCACAATCAGCTGGAAATCTGACAGCTCAGGTTCAAGACCCGAACTCCAAGCAAGCAGGTGAGTTCCCATCCTCATCCCAGCTCCTGCAACCTAGCAGTCCGAAAGCCCATAAATGCAAATAGATAAATAGGTACCACTTTGGTGGGAAGGTAATAACGTTCTGCGATGTCATGCCAACCACATGACCGTGGAAATGTCTTCAGACAGCACTGACTCAATGGCCTTGAAATGGGGGTGAGTACTGCCTGCTAGCAACGACTAGTGAAGTAAAATCCACAGGGTCCTGAAATGCAATAGTTTTCCAAGAAGGATTATAGAAGCATTCAAACAAATCAACAAAAGGTAGGTTGAAATTACCAATCATTGAATCAAAGGACTCCTGCAGGTTGGTTATGTTCTTCATTACGAAGAAATGCTTCTCACCAGGTTTCTTCGATGCCAAATCATTCAAGACTCGCCTGTTGATTTCATCTCCAACAGCAAAGACATAAACATCTGCAAGCAAGCATGGATAGGGACATAGGTTGGGAGGAAAGGACTAATGTTTCTGACCAAAAAAAAGGCAACAGGAGTTTGTAGTGGTGAGTCCTTAATAAAGTACAGTATTGCAATTGTTGTCAATCTTCCTAAGACCAAGCTATCTATCAAAAATCTCATGACATTTCATTATGACATTTCATTGTCTAATTTTGACAGAAAACTCCAAAACCAGATGGATTAGATGAGGATTTGTTTTACTGCAGGCAAAAATAAAGCCACACACAACAGTTTGCCCACTGCCGTTTTCAAAGATATAAATTACTTTTATCTTTGTATGGGTTTAAACAGACCCCTGCATTATGTTCATACCTAGCCTGGAAACTGCTCATTTCATACTCAATATCTACACTTATTTCATCTAGTATGGGAATTCTCTCAATGGCCCATCACTACATTTTTTAAACAAGGCAGTTATATGTGTTCTTAATCAACAGAAAAGTAGGAACCCTCTTGAAGGATCAGGGACAAACCTGCTTAGATCTCCACTGAATGTAAACTTAATGAAGTTTCTTAACCTAAATGTATACATGTGAACCAACATTCTTAAATATCATTTGAAATCTGCAGTTCACCAGCAATAAAAAATGCATTTTAGGAAAAAAATCCATACAAAAAGTATGTATTTGCGAGAGTAATGTACGCACTGAATTGTGTACAAATTCCAGACTCTAAACTTGTCCATTCATCCATTCCACACTAACAATGTGTGTGTGTCAGTGGTGGGATTCAATGTTTTTTTTACTATCAGTTCTTTGGGCATGGCTTGGTGGGTGTGCCAGGGGAAGGATACTGTAAAATCCCTATTCCCTCCCCAATCCAGGTTACTGCGAAATCCCCATTTCCTCCCGATCACCTGGGATTCGGGAGGCAGAGAATAGATGGGGCGGGGCCAGTCGTAGGTAGTATTTACTGGTTCTCCGAACTACTCAAAATTTCCTCTACCGATTACCCAGAACTGGTCAAAACCTGCTGAATAACACCTTTGTTGTGTTGTGTGTTACTGCAAAATACTTTATATGGGGCTGCTCTTGAAGACTATTTAGAAACTTTATTGACACATCTATATCATAGATTTACATCAAATAGACATCTTGCTTTTAACCTTTAAAACCTTACATAGCTCAACAAATTTTGGTCCAGTTGCAATGATTCAATCTTTTAGAGACCTTCAGCCTAGATGATTTAAGTCTTTCTTTGACATATTACAATAGATTTGGGGGAGAAACCCCTGAACTTAGTATGACAAGAGTTGGTACATTCCAACTACTCTCTGACTCTCTGCTGTCTGCTCACTCTCTCTTTGTGCTCTCTCTCTCTTTCCACTACTGGTTCTCCAGAAGTGGTCAGAACCTGCTGAATACCACCTCTGGCCTATATATTGGCAGAAAATCTTATTGCAGGCAAATGAGGCCAAACATTGTGAAATTCTGGTTTAAAGTATTTTTGTCCCCATTTCTTTCCTGATGTGTAGATCGTTAGAACTTACCTAAGAATTCTTTGCGAGAACTGGAGCCAGATTCCTTAATCTTAAGGAATTCCTTAATTCTTTTCATGATAGGCATTGGATCCCCACCCATGTTGTAGCGACCTAAGGGTTGAGAGTAGCAGTTATTATATGGTGGAAGTGATCAAGTTGCCTCTCAAAATTCTGTAGTCCCACTACAGTCCAAAGTTTCTGTGGAATTATAGAAATAACTCACTTCATTCAACTCAAATGAAATTGAATCACTGAAATAAAAGGAAATTTCCCCCAGCTCCATTAATTTTTTAAAGACTCAGTAGTGATCTTGATCCAAAAAAGGTTTGACTTCCCCCAAGATGGTGTGCTGAATACCGGAAATATTTTTCTCCTCCTGACAATAAGCTGTTTTTTTTTTTTTGCAAACCTGGTTTTTGGTGCTGTTAACTGATTGGTCAAAGGCCGATTTATTCTAACCCCTTGCTGGATTTTAATATGATTTTTGTATGTACCCTGTTTCCCTGAAAATAAGACCTCCCTGGATAATAAGTCCAATCGGGCTTTTGAGCGCATAGGCTAAAATAAGGCCACCCCGAAAACGTTGCAACACAGCAGCAGCCATGAAGTGACCATGCTCGCCACCTCCTGTACCTCAAAAGTAATAAACCTCCCCCAAAATAAGGCCAAGCATTTATTTTGGGGGGGTCAAAAGAAACACGGTATGTCTTTTCTTTGTTCTAAAGAATGTTTTTACCTGCAAATTCAAATGGAGAAGGCTAAAAAAATATGGACCTTACAGACTTAGAGTTGACAGGCTTGATGAGTGAAGATTGATGGAGATTGGGGATGGATTTATTATAACCAATTGGAAAACAATTTTGACTGGGCTTTTTGGGGAAGATAAATTGACTTTGGACAATGGGCTTTCTATATTTAATCAGACAGCAACTCATAAGATATGTTATTAGGGGGGAAATCAGGAAATTTGATATTCATCCAGGATGGATCAGAGATAACTGTTGTGGTGATTTGGAATAGATAAAGAAGTCATGGTAGACTTTCTGCAAGTTAAATAAAATAATATATTGTTAACAGATTTTGAAAGTTTATTTTTTCTGTTGCTTTGCCTGTTAACTGTTCTTAATATAGTAGATAGCTGACAGGTCAAATAAATAGAAAATAGAGGTAGAATTTTAAAAATTAGGGGCTCAGTTCGGAAAAGAAGGGGAAACTAACATTGTTACAATATATTTATCAGTATTCAATTAAGTTGGATGATTATATATATATATATATATATATATATATATATATATATATATATATATATATATATATATATATATATATATATATATATATGTGTGTGTTTATATTTGTGCTGATAAATAAATAAAGGAAGACTTTATATCAGCACAAATATAAACACAAATATAACAAAGGCAACAGTAAAAATATTGGGTTTCTGTCTGGATGGACTCTTGTGACGAGCCTAATGACAGAGAGTGGAAGTGTGACCTTCCTCCCACATTTGGGCATACCAGGGGTTGTGACTTTAAGTATATATATACTTATATATATATACACACGTGTGTGTGTTTTTTGTTCTGTTTAATGCAGATTTGTAAATTCTCTTGTTTTGTTTGTGTACAATTTTTTCTTGACTGTAATGTTTTGAATAAAAAAGGTTATTTGGAGAGTGGGGGGGATTTATACACATAGTATAAGGTTTGAACCTGTGGATTCTGGATTCTGAAAGATGATGGAGAAAAGGATAAGAATATAAAACAACTTTTCCTGAATACACACTATATATTAAGACAAAAAATTGAGCCCTACATTTCATTTAAATTGCAGAGTAAAAAACATATTGGTTAAATAAATAGCGTAAAGGTTCTTTCCAACAACTATTGAAGTAGCTGCCCTATTAAATATTAAAAAGTAGCTGAAAAAAATAAAGTTGTTTTATATGTGTTCATTTTCCTCACCATCAGTCAGGAGAATGATCACATGGCGTGTGGAATTGACAATAGGAGCAGGATTTAATCCACGATTCTTCTCCTCAGCTTCCTGGCTAATCATCATTTCATAGACAGTTTTCAAGGCTTTCTCGATGTTGGTTCCTGGCTTTATCTTATGCTCTAAAGAGAAAAATAGAAGAGATAAAAGGAGAAAAATGAACACAATTATTTGCATGGCTACCTTAGCAAAAAGGGACATGGTGGCTCACTGGCTAAGACGCTGAGCTTGTCAATTGAAAGGCCAGCAGTTCAGCGGTTCGAATCCCTAGTGCTGTGTAACGGGGTGCGTGCACGATACTTGTCCCAGCTTCTGCCAACCTAGCAGTTCAAAAGCATGTAAAAAATGTAAGTAGAAAAATAGGGACCCCTTTGGTGGGCCGGTAACAGCATTCCCAGTGGTGGGTTGCCAATTTTTTTATTACCGGTTCGGGCACGTTCGTGTGATGCTTCTGCGCATGTGCAGAAGCATCCGGGTGGGTGGGCGGAGCCTCCCATTGCCACTACTTTCAGTTCACCCAATCTGGGCTGCACTGGGAGCACCCCACCTCTGAGCACTCCATGCGCCTTTGCTGTTTAGTCATGCCGGCCACATGACCACGGAGACGTCTTCACATAGTGCTGGCTCTTAAGCTTTGAAATGGAGATGACCACCTCCCTCTAGAGTCTGGAACAACTAGCACATGCAGTATGTGCAAGAGGAACCTTTATCTTTATCTTTACCTTAGCAAATCTCATTTGCTATTCAGGCTACACCTGCAGCAGCAATATAACCTAATTGATCTTCACACCTCCCCTCAGAAAAACATCAAGAGCTGTCGTTCTTCAGTATTGAATGTTTCTCAGTCTCAAGAATTCCTTAAGCGTTTTGAATGTATATTAATACTTCCTAGTTTATAGAATGCAGGCAACAATATTTTGGCTACTATACAGGTAGTATAGTAAAAGACTCAAGGATGTAGATGTTGCTTGGAATAGAATGAAAATGTTACAGAGTGACACATAAGTGGGTAAACCTATTTATTCCAAGTATGAAAAAGACCTTGTTCAGATTATAAAATGAAACAGATTGTGGGTGAGCAAAATGTTCTTCTAGCCAGACCTATCTCTGTGGCAAAGTTCAGAAATATATCTCACCAGAAACGTGAATATTTTGTAGTTGCTCAATCACCCAGGCTGAATCAGTGCTGTGTTGATCCATTGTGCTCAAAACTTCTTTGCTGTTTGTGGCAAAAGTGATGATGGCATAATTGGGGGAGACGTCATAGCTGGAGATCTGCAAAGGGAAACCAGGAGACCAAAAGAAGCAAGACGTGTACCGCATTTCTCAACTAGGTTCATTAACATTCAGTCCAAAGGACAGTATGGGACTGGCTTAGACACTTCAGCGCACAAAATCTCCCACCAACAAGCATTTGCTGGTGAGAGAAGGTCTTACATTCCCAGCCTTTCAACCTGGCCTATTCTTGCTGACATAGACTTACAAATATGGCAACCTTTGCAAAATCCAAGGCTACCCCATTCTATGACTTCCACAAAAGTTTGGGGATACCCTATTGTAGAACTTCTGCAAATGCCTCATTCCCGAGCTTTGCAGGTTGACGTATTGAAAGGGCACAGCAGATCAGTCATCTTGACCCAGAAGCCAACAATAAATAATGTTTTTCTTCTATCGTCCCTCAACCTGCTGAGGACCTATTAAAGATACGAAGAGTTCAGTATAAATCTCTTTCATTTTACTGTGTTTTTTTTTAAAAAAAAGATCAACTATGGATTACCAGGAATTTGAAACATAGGTGGAAGGACCTCTAGGTGGAGGTGTTACATATTGAGAACGGAGCAATAGGCTCCACCAAGGTCCTCCATTCCGGCAGGAAAATACTCAAAGCTGATTGGCTGAGCCACCTGATAGCTTCCTATAAAAGTGCTAGCTGTTAGACAGGCCAGTGCTGGATTTGTAAATAGTTGTCTAATAAGGAGCTATTGCTTGTCACTGAAGCCTGGGTCCCGTCTCATCCATTCACCCTATCTAACACTGGTGACGAAGATGGGATTGGAAGACAACTAGGCAAAAGAGCTGACAACACAATCCAACAGTAAGCCCAGTCGGAGTTAACATCAGGCACCAAGCGGCCATTTTGAGCAGCAAATTCAAAGTTGCCCCGGCTCATCAAAATGACTACGCACGCCCTACCAGCTCCCTTTGATCCAACCACGGAATGCTAAGACTCCTACATGATGAGGTTCGAGCGCTTTATGGAAGCCAACAGCCTTCTCAGTCTATTGGACAACTGAAAGTGGGCTCTATTCCTGAGCTACTGTGGGCCGGAGGTATTCGACACCGCCAAGGCTCTATCTAAACCAACTCTGGTATAGACAGTCACCTGGTCAGTACTTCAGAATATGCTTAAGACGCACTATGTGCCGGATCCTTCAAAATTCATGTGGCAGCACGAATTCAATCTCTGCAAGCAAAAAGAAGGGGAGACTATCAATCAGTACGTTGCCGCACTCCACAGCGTACTGCAGATTTCAAAACCTAGATGAGTTGCTGCTTGACCAAATAATCTGTGGAGTACGGGACATTAATCTGCAGCAAAGGCTATTAGCCAAAACAAACCTCACATTACAAGTTGCACTAGGTGGGAGGCCAGAGCTACTGAATCCACAACAAAATCAACAGAGATGCTGAGGAAACATGGCGGTATGAAAAGCACATGCAGAGCTGTTGCAGTTCATCACAAGAACGCCGAACGAGATTTCTTGTCTGACGGCGAGGATGAGGTTTGCCTTTCAAAAAGAAAAAGACAGCGTGCGAATTAGAAGGATGTTTCCCGCCTTGCACCGGCTGTGGGGAAAACCACCAGAGATTAGCCTGCAGTTTCAGCGGAGTGACCTGCCGTTTGCCAGCAATGTGACCATAGAGGACATCTGGCCAGAGTCTGCCGGGGAGACCGTCCGTCTGCTCATCAATCCAAGAGAGCATCTAGCCAGTCAGGAAAGCTGAGACCACCCAGGTGGGAGACCTGGAAGCCCCAACAAAATCCAGAAAGAGAGAAATCAACGACAGCATTCCAGACAAAAATTTGGCAAGCTAGCACGCCAAAAACAAAAAGTTGCGAGTCACCATCCAAATCGAGGGGTCACTGTCCAGCATGGAAATTGATACTGGGTCATCCCTGATCATCATATCCTGAACGACGCTGAAGAAAGCTACCCCGAGCCTCCAGAGATGCCAGCTGAGGCACCAAGAACTTTGGCTAAGCGACTATCAGGGAAACTGTATCCCTGTCCTAGGTTGTGGCACATTCCATGTCCAATTCAAGAATTTTGATGGGCCGCTCACCTAACTGTGGTTAGCGGTTTCCTTCCAAGCCTGCTCCGCTTGGACTGCTTTGAGTCCCTGGGCATGGGGGTAACTGGCATCAACACTATTAAAGATGACAGCACTGAGAAGTTGCTCCATGAGTTCGAGGACGTCTTCAGTGGAGGCCTTGACAAGTATGTGGGGACTCCGATATCATTTAGCCTAAAACCCAATGTTGCATCCATTAGATTGATGCCCTGAAGGGGTTCTTTTGACCTCTGACCTAAAATTAACCAAGAATTAGAGAAACTAATTGGCCAAAGGATTTGGAGCCTGTTAACCATGCCCAGTGGGAGATCCCTATTGTGACCCCAGTTAAGACTGATGGGTCAGTCCGCATCTGCATGGACTATAAGTGCACCCTGAATAAGGCCCTTTGGCAAAGTGCATGTCTGTGCCAATCATCCAGCATTTACTGCACCTCCTAAATAAATAATAAATAATAAATAATAAATAATAAATAATAAATAATAAATAATAAATAATAAATAATAAATAATAAATAATAAATAATAAATAATAA